TTTGCCATAATCGAGCAGCCCTAGGAGTCACTACACCTAGTGCTCCGATTACCACTGGGTACCTCTTATCTGAACACTTCTTACTAAGAATGTGTGTTTTATAGATCATTGGGAATGTTTCTCAGAAGAAAAATAGGAGAGAATGACTAGGAGAGAGCCATTCCAATTTGGCTTATTTCCAAAGATGTAGCTGATTCTATTAAACCTCCTAAAATGAAATGATTTAAAGTTTATTTTAACATCTAAGGCCTAAAAGAAGAAGTGTAGCAATGCAGAAACCTGCACTTTCTCTGTCCACCACAGGGTCAAAGACTTTCTCTCAAAGTTTTCTCTTTATTTATTTGTTTATTTATTTATTTGTTTATTCAGTGACTTAAGCCCTGTCTGGGCTGCAAAACAAATGAGGGAAGCTAACAAATATTTGTTTTCAGATTTTCATCTGTAAAAATGTTCATTTTAGAGAAAGAAAATAGTAAAATGTGCCTTTTACACCAAAATCAGTAAAATGTTCATAATATTTTTCTGCAGAGCTAGAGGAGCCAGAACAACAAGAAGAACCAGATAAACCAGAGTACAGGATTGTGCTTCTTGGAAAAACTGGAGTTGGAAAGAACAAAATTGGAGATGCCATTTTAGGAAATAATAGAAATGGTTTTGAGTCAAGGTCATCTTTAGAGTTTCAGAAGAAAACACAAGAGTTCGGGGGTCAGATCCTGACTGTAGTTGTTACTCCAGATCTGTTTGAGAACAGACTGACTGACGTGGATGTGAGGAGGGAAATCCATAGATGCATCTGCTTTGCTGCTCCTGGTCCCCATGTGTTCCTGGTTGTGTTTCAAACTGGCAGCTTCACAGAAGAAGATAAAGAAATAGTGAGAAAAATTCAGCACATGTTTGGAGAAAAAGCAGCACGTTATATTATGGTCTTATTCACCTGTGGAGATGATCCAGAGGCAGCCAGTGTTACCATTGATGAATTTATTAGTAAAAATCCACCTCTGCGTAACTTCATCAGTCAGTGTGGAGGAAAACATCATGTGTTTAACAACAGAATGGAGGATCCCTCTCAGGTCAGAGAGTTACTGAAGGAGATCAACAACATGGTTCACAGAAATGAAGGAAGATACTACACCAGTGAGATGTTCAGACAGGCTGACTTCAGGATTGTGCTTGTCGGGAAAACTGGTGTTGGGAAAAGTGCAACAGGAAACACCATCTTAGGACAAAGAGTATTTATGTCTACACCAAATGCTTCCACAGCAACAGCAAAGTGTCAGATGGACACATGTCAGTTTGATGGTCAAATCCTGGCTGTAGTTGATACTCCAGGTCTGTTTGATACCAATAAGACTGAAGAGGAGGTCAAGATAGAGATCAGTAGGGCCATCCCCTTTGCTGCTCCTGGTCCTCATGTGTTCCTGGTTGTGATTCAGGCGAACAGATTCACAGAAGAAGAACAAAACACAATCAGGCAGATTCAGAATGTGTTTGGAAGAGATGCAGCACGGTACACTATGGCCCTGTTCACCTGTGGAGACAATCTGGAGCATGATGGAGTCGCAATAGAAACATTAATAAAAAATCCAGCTCTCAGTGACTTCATCCGTCAGTGTCATGGAGGATATCATGTTTTTAACAACAGAAGCAGAGACCCTGCTCAGGTCAGAGAGCTCCTGGAGAAGATTAACACCAGGGTTCAGAATAATGGAGGAAGTTGCTACACCAATGAGATGTTTGAAAAGGCAGAGAGAGCCTTTAAAAAAGTGGAACCAGACCTCAGGATTGTTCTTGTGGGAAAAACCAGAGCTGGGAAGAGTGCAGCAGGAAACACCATCTTAGAGGGAAATGTATTTAGATCAACATCATCTTCTTCCCCAGTGACATTAGAGTGTAAGAAGGAAACAGCTCCGTTCGACTTTCAAAAACTGGCTGTAGTTGATACTCCAGGCCTGTTTCACACCATGTTCACCTTAGACCAGTTCAACAAAGAGATCAATAGATGCATCTCATTGGCTGCTCCTGGTCCTCACGTGTTCCTGATTGTGGTCAATCCAGGAGAGTTTGAAGATAAAGAACAAGAAACAGTGAGAATCCTTCAGGATGTGTTTGGAGACAAAGCAGCTTGTTACACCATGGTGTTGTTCACCCATGTAGATGATCTGAAGGTCTCCATAAAGGAATGCATCATTGAAACTCCAGGTCTCAGTGAGTTCATCAATCAGTGTGGAGGAAAATATCATGTTTTTAACAACAGAATCAGAGATCCTGCTCAGGTCAGAGAGCTGCTGGAGAAGATCAACACCATGGTGAAGGAAAATGGAGGAAGGTACTACAGCAATCAGATGTTTAAGAAGGCAGGGAAAGTTATAAAGAAAGAGGTGGAACGACTAATAAAGAAAGAAAATATGACACCCAAAGAAGCAAGATACAAAGCAGAACGAAAAAACATGTTTAATCGAGACAGTAAGGTTGCTGTTCTTATAGGATCTGCTCTTGGACTGGGTGTTGGAGTTGGTGCTGGAATTGGTATTCCAGCTGTTTTCACAGCTGCTGCTGCTGGAGCTACAGTTGGACTTGTAGGAGGTCCAGTGGGAGCTGCAGTAGGAGCTACAGTTGGAATTGTAGGTGCTTCGGTGGGAGCTGTGACGGGAGGTTTATTAGGGTCTTCAGTGGGAGCTGGAGTGGGAGCTGGAGTTCATTTAATTCCTGCAGCTAAAATAAAAAACAAGGCTTGTGTCCTGCAGTGATATGCAGTGTTATTTGGCAGCAGCTCATTAAAATCAACATGAATATACAGACTGGAAATCAAATTTTAGAATTATTATCTTATTTGACTGTGCATTTATTGATTATTAAATGTATTTTGATCAAATATATTTGGTAATTTTACAGAAAAAGGAAATCAAAAATTAATAATTGATTATGTCATTACGAAGACATTATTAAACTGTGAAACAATCAGCTTTTAAGATGATCTAAAATCTGTTTTACAGTTGTTCAAGTCAGTAGAACAAGCATAATTTTTAATACTGATGAAAATTACTTTTCCGTGTTGTTAATCAGAATACTTTAGAATACTTACTCGCTATTAATACGAGAAAACAAGATAAAAGGAGGAGAATCAATCAAACAATTCAGAAAAAAGCATTTACTGTTATTTTTTTTTTTTATTAAAGTCTGACATTAAAGAACAGCAGAGATATTTGATTCATGTTTCCTCTGGGCTTTACCTTTGTTCTGATCTGTTAATAAATAAAAACACATCAAATGAAATGGTGTAAAAGCACTGTAATAAAAATATCTGAAAAATAAAAACTTTAAAAATGTTTCACTGGATACGATTTTGTTCTGCTAATCTACAAAATATCATCTGTAGATTTAAAACAGCCAGCTAATATTTTTTGTTCCTGTTCGATTAAAAAATGTGATCACAAATTTTTAAGCCGCCTATTAAAATACAATTTTTGGTTGGGGAACATACGCACAGCCTGGGAGGGGCACATATGGATGTGCAACAGCTAATGCAGTAAATTTCAGAGTGAAATTCCTACAGGTTTTGAGGGGTAAGGCAAAGATATATGTCAAATGTCATATTTGTAAATGTCAAATTACAGAGTTGCATGCTGCTACCACTCCAAATACTAACGTAAAACTCTAAACTGGATGTGAAAATGTTCCTGTGGTTTCCAGTTCCTCTACAGAAACTTCAGCAAAGAAGTAAAACAAAGTATGTGGTATAGAAGGGATGCTGACACACTAAAACGTTGTGTGTTTGTGGTGTCTGCTGCATCTTCCTGGCTTTTTCGGTTCTCAAACGTATCTCCTATCAGGTGCTTAGTCTGAGCAGAGTTCTTTTTTACCCTCCTTTTCCCTCATGTATTGTGCACTTTCATTATTTTTCTTACCATCATACGTCTCTCTGGTCTGTATGGTCGTAAGGGGTCCTATTTCACTGCATGTAACATGTAATTGTAACATTGCTAGTAGCAAATAATGGCCCAATCAATCAATCAGATTTTTCACTTCCCCATCCACATTTACACCGCCCAAGATATAGAGTAGAAAACTTCCGCCAGTCTGAGCTCCCCAGATCTTAATCCCAGTGAGAACTCGTGGTCAATCCTCAAGAGGCGGGTGGACAAACAAAAACCCCCACTAATTCTGACAAAGAAGTGATTATGACAGAATGGGTTGCTATCAGTCAGGATTTGGCACAGAAGCTGATTGAGAGCATGCCCAGTCGAATTGCAGAGGTGCTGAAAAAGAAGGGCCAACACAAATACTGACTCTTTGCATAAATGTCATGTAATTGTCGATAAAAGCCTTTGAACGTATGAAGTGCTTTTCATTATATTTCAGTACATCACAGAAACAACTGAAACAAAGATCTGAAAGCAGTCTAGCAGCAAACTTTGTGAAAACTAATATTTGTGTCATTCTCAAAGCTTTTGGCCACGACTGTATTTTGTGTCATTTTTTTAAATATCTGCATGTAAGAGTTTTAAATGTATAACATATTTAATTTAATGAACATGGTTTGTCATGAAAGAAAAGTGTATTCTAAATAGGGCTGTGCGATATGACCAAAAGTTCATATCCCAATATAAGACATCTATCGTCCCGATAATGATATAAATCACCAAAATTTAACATTTTCTGTAAATTTTGTGAATCCTGTTCTAACGTTTGAGTCTAAGGTTTATTTTTTAGCACCTGACGGCTCTTTTTCGCTTCTCATCCGTAAATACTCTACATACTGTGTCACGTGATTCAGTTTATTTTGAAAAGTCTCAACAGGATCTTGATCTTTATTGTGAAAGGTTTATGTGGAAAATAAACAAGCGGACACACGTTGTTCCTAACGACAACGCATAAAAACAGGCACTTGTCCTTCCGTAGAGTGGCTATTTTAAATATAAGAGAAAGAGAGAACTTCAAGAATGTTACGGTTCTGGGTCAGTGTTGACCCAGTATTTTGAGTTTCTTATATTTTGGTTTATTTTTGCATTATGGATTGTTTTCTGATGTTCTGGTGCTTTGTTTATTATTATTATCATTATGGATCTGTTTCTGTTATTCTTGGTGAGGGATCAGTTCTTAGGCTTTGGGTTCTCGTGTGTATTGCAGTTTCTGTTCAGTGTTGTGTCTGCATCTTTGTTTAGTGGTTTCTTGTTTCCTGTCTTATTGTGAAAGTCTTTGTCTTATGTTAGTGTGTGCAGCTTAGCTCCCCCGTCTCGTTAGCCCTGATCTCCCCCAGCTGTGTCTCCCTTCTGTTACCCATTCCCTGATTACCACCCTGTGTTGTCCTCAACCCAGTGTCGCGTTGTACCATCAGATTATGCCTGTGTGTTTCTGTTCTCCGTATTCAGTGGTCACTTCATGTTTTGTTTTTGTACCAGCAAAAAAGCTGAGGTTTTTGAGTTTCAAGTTAGTGTCTGAGTCCTGCGTTTGGATCCTCCTCTCCGCCTGCCCGCACACAGAGCCCTGA